TGTAGCTAGTATAAGTACATACAGTTATAACCAGAGGCTATAACTGCTAAGAATCACTATAAAAAAAAATAATAATACACCTGTTACCTCTGAGCTTTATGATACTATTCAACTATACTGACTACTGGAAGCATTTGCAAAACATGTCTAGGCACCTTATTATTATATTGGAAAGTACAGTTATTAGTACAATTACCAAATTTGATTTAGATCCCAAAGTTAAAAAAAACTAGCTAGTTACGGCAGCATGCAAGCTTGAAATAAACCCAATTGGGTAGAGACAGCTGCATGACTTGAGATACAAACTTCTGAAAATATGCCAAAAGAGTAATTTCTTGTTAGGACACCAAACTGGAAGCAATAAGCATCTATCTGAAACAATATATACTGATTTAGAAGTTAAAATAGTAAATAATATAGATAATGTGGCATATATATGAATACTAATTGGTAGTTAAAAAAGAATGTATAAATCTAGATTAGCTGTGTAGTAGGAATATAGTTGGCTCTGGTGGGTTTTAGCTATAAATAAATAGTTTGTATATTTGATGTTCTAGTCTTAGTACTTGATATAATATATACATATATAGACACCATTATATAGGTCTTTGTCTTGAAAATAACTCTATAGTACTATAAATTTTTTTGAGTAAACAGTAAATAAAGATTGCAATAATAATAATAATAATAATCAAAAACTCTTTCTAATGATCATCTGGACCAAAATTTTTCACGAAAAAAAGTTAAGTTTAAATACTAGAAAGTAGAAAAGACTTGTAGTGAGTAGACAACAGAGCGGTTTTTATAAAGATCAACCTTTTATGCTTTTACAAGAACTCCTTTATATATTCGACATGCAAGTATACATGTTGGCAAAATTCCAAATTACTATATTTGGAATTTGTCTATGCCCAAATTCCAAATTCATCCCAAATTAATTTCTTAAAAACTTTATTAATAATTTTTGTTTAAACAAATAGTAGATATTCTTATTATTGTAAATAATATATTTGCAAAATTTTAAGATTACTTTTTTGATTTAATCTTTTACAAATAGCAATTGTTTTTTTTGAATTTGGGATTTGTCTATGTTTTGTTAGTAAGTATATATACAAGCTGAAAGTGTCTTTATACAAGATAACTAGTTAAAGAAGTGTGCTCTTGTATATAAAATTTTGGTGGAGAATATGGTTTTCTTTTATCAATAAAGTTTTCTGTTGCTAAATAACTAGAGAACAGTAAAGAACTTGTTATTCTTAAGCTGTACTCTTTTATTTGGCCAAGTGACTCCTCTTTTATTTACTTACACTTTCTTGCCAGCCTTCTAAATTTTTTACAAAAAGTAGAAGATTTGGCTTACTTCTCCAAAAGATCAGCATTGTTTATATTCCAAATTCAGACGAGCTCAGTAGAATACAACTATGTGTTTTGTTTACTTGCAAATATAATGCTACTCTATATGACCTGAATCAGGGTCTCTGGTTAATGAGATATCCAAAGTAGGTCAATAGTAGAATAGTGTATACTTAAAGCTTGCTTTATATTGAGATATACAATCATTGTAGTTGTTATATAATTTTTACTTTAACTAGGCACAGGTTAGAATAGTGCTAAAAGACAGAATTTTTTACTATCTTTATTGTTTTCTTTTTTTGCATTTTCTTTTTATATTTCTTTTATATTTGTTTTTGATTTTTTGATTTTATTTTTCTTTGTTTTTTCTTTTTTTCTCTTTTTACCATATTTGTTTTATTTTTTTTTATTTTTTTTATTTTCTATATCTTTTTGAAAAAAGAAAAATATTAAGAAAAAGGCAATCTTGACAAAGCTAGCAATAAGTTTTCAGTGATTTTTTTGAGAAGTCATCTAGCAAGTTAAATGCTAGAGAGGAGTGAATTATTGCTGTGGCAGATCACATCTAGACACCTTGAGCAGCCAGGTGAGCTTTTATTGAGAAGAAGAAAGGGTTGTTAGCAATAGCTAAAAACTTATGTATTCATTACATATTCCTTATACAATAAAGGCAGAATTGCTAAATTTTAAAAAAATAAAAGTAAATAAAGATTATAACTCAAACGATCAAACTTGATTTTTTGTAATTTTAGATATGATCTTCACAAAATTTTTTATTATTGAATAAAAATTGATCTGTGTAATAATACTCCATGCAAAATTGACAATATCTGCTATAGTAAATCATTTTTATTCTATTTTTAAATATTTAAAAAAATTTTTTGTCAAATTTCTGAACTTCTATAACTCAGTTTAATATTAAATTAACTAGTTTTAAAATTTTGTACAAAATAAGTTTTGTGTTTCATAAATTAAAATTTAGCAAAAATTTTAATTTTGGCTTGGGAATCTTAAAACCCTATTTTTAAGTCAAAAACCTCATATGTCAATCATTTAAGTATTAATAAAGTCTAAGTGCGAGTGCTACACTCTTAAAATATATATAAAAAAAAAAACTTCTTTAAAACAAAAAATAACAGAAAATCTTTTAATGAAAATATAATTTGGTCAAATATCTATCAATTTGTTAGAGTTTTTTGATTTAACTTGTTTTAAAAAAGTTATAATGATTTAAAGTTTTTGATAGTATCTATAATTTATGTAAAACAGTATTGTTATAGAAATCTTAAAGATAATATAAAAATAATACTAGATAGTATTATTGATTTCTATACTAGTTTAATATAAATTATAGATACCACTTTTATTAATAAAAGTAGATACATTTTGCTGTCTGGTACTATATAAAAAAACAATACAAGTACAATGATTTTTAATACTATTTTTAATATAGATTATAACTAGCTTTGGTTGTATCTCAGAATACCAATATACAAAATCCTAACACACAAAATCTCATCACCAAAATCCTTATAAACAAATTAAAATCCTAAAAATATTAAAATTAGGATTTTAATTTGACAAAATTTTTGTATATTGGGATTTTATTGCTAGGATTTTGTGTATTGGAATTTTATATGTTAGAATTCTAATATACAACTCTAGATTTTAGTTAATTTTAATCTAATTTGTTAAAAATTAAATTTACTTTTTTAAATATTTTAAAATTTATTTTTTACTTTATTTTTTTAACAATCATATTACAATTCTATGCTTTATTAATAATAAATTATACTTTCAAAGAATATAAATTTTACATTGTGGTTTTAATAACAAAAAATTACAAAATATAACTTATATAGTTATTATAAAATATCTAAATATTTGAGATCTATATGTAATCTACCAAAGATGATTTAGTCTCACTAGTTTGGTTTAGTCTATCTTAGATAAAATGACCTTGAATCACTAACCTGATTTACTAGCCTGTTATAATTATCTTCTTTTTTAACTTTCTTTTTTTAGCTTTCTAAGTAAAAGAATTCTACCAAAAAACAACAAGAAATTAAAGAAATAAAAAAAGTAAAAAAAAAAAAAGTTCTAAACTAAACAAAAATTAAAAAAAAAAAAAAAAACAAGAAAAATGCTACAAAGAAGATAACTATAATAGTATTATTTTTGTCTATACTAGGCTATAAAAATTATATAATATTATATAGAAAAAAATCTAATCTAATACTATGTTTTGTAAAGATAGAAAATAAAAGAAAAATATTTAATATTAAAAAATTTCTATATATGATCCCTCCAATCTCTATTATACTATTATTGTTTATTTGATAAAGCATTAATTCAAATAAGCTTGTGAAAGATTTCATTTTGGTAGACATGTTCTAATTTGAAAAGAGTAAACACTGCTGATTTTTTGAAGAGAATATACTAGTTTTCTTACTTTTTAGCCAAAATTTCTCAAAATCTAGCAGAAATATAGTAGAGGGTTTATAGTTGCAAATATTTTCAAAATTTTAAAAGAGTGTGTGTTGAAAAGCCAAAACTTTTGTTGTTTTCTAGTGTCTTTATAGAAGTATAGCCTAAGAGCTTTGTCAACAAAAAAAATACTATCTTTTGTTTCTTTACCAAGATTTTTTATACAAGAGTATCACCTGCTAGTTATCTTGTATAGCAATACTCTTGGCTTGCGTGCCAAACATCACTTATAGAGAAGTTCTGAAAAAAAAAAGTGTTAACCTCTAAACAAAACACTATGCTAGGCCATGACTCTTCAACAAAAGTTGTATTTTTCTTTGATAAGAAATTTTGGTACAGGTGATTATTAGAAAGAATTTTTGAATATTTTAGAATTTAGTAATTAGAATTAAACTTTTTTTATTAAATATATCTTACTAAAAGCTTTTATTTAAAATAAGTTCAATCAAATTAGACTACTAGTTGCTAAAATAATTGCAAAAAATTGTTTTTTTTTTTATTTTTTAAATTTTGAAAATTTTTGCTAAATTGCATAATATTAAAAATGTTTAGTAATCTTATAAAATATTAATTTAATAATCACAAATTGGCTTTTGAAAATAAACCAAAAGTGATTTGTAATGGTTTGTTAAATTTTTTTTTGATTTAAAACAAAAAATATTATATAAAAAAACACCAATTTTTAGCTAAAGTATAATATAAATAACCAAAAAATTTAAATTTTATGTTTTTTTTTTTAAAAAAAAATAAAGATACTAAAAATTTTTTTTATATATTTGATAGCTTAAACAAAAAACTATGAATATACAAGAACTTTTTGTTAGTATATTTTTTTTAAAAAAAATTATAAACGTTTAGAAAGTTTATAGTTAAAAATTGACGCCTTTTCGTGTTAGCCACTGTAATTTTCATTTTGCCTTCAACCAAAAATTAATTATTATTAGAATCAAGTATAAAAGAATTGATTTAGTAAATACTATTATTTACTGTATTACGTTTAGTAATAATTACTACATGTAGTAAATATTACTGCAAATAAATTTCAAAAATCTATATAAAAATAAATCTATCAAATATATATAATTAGTGTAATTAGCTATTTACGACGCCATACTTTACTTTATGCGTATTGTCTATTATTTGTCATAAACAGCATAATATTATGCGGCTGCTTTCCAATTAATCACGCTAGTACCCGTTTGCCGCTCTTCACCACCCCAGGCATTACCTTTTTTGAATACATTTCTCTCCATCGCCACATCACACCATGGACCACAACACTTGCCAATTTCACAAAGTTCAACAAACGATTTATTATTCACTAAAGGTACCTCCTCAAGGATCTCTTTTACGAATCTAACCAATTTATCCACATCCACGAGTCTTGTTGCATTCTTTGCATATCTATAATAAACTTCGCCATTACCAGCAAAATATTTGGTTATAAGTCGGTCAGGATATTTTGGACCAACAAATTCCAGAAGTTCATAGTATGTCAGGTTAACAACACCTTCTCGTTCTAACACTTGTTTTGCCATTTCAATATCTGCCACTTGACAGTCACTCGATTCACATTGAAAATTGTAGAATCGCCTCCCGGATGCAGTGTGAACATAAGTAAACCATGCTTCGGAATAGAACCGACTGTCAATACTTATTACAGTCGTTTTTGGTGCCATGAAAATGGCATCACCAATTCCGTTGCCATGAGATGTAATAAGGATATCTACATCCTCTAAAAGTTTTGCAGTTGCCGGGAGGGAGCAGCCAATGTCAAAATTAAAGAACTTGACAGTGTATTTTTGGTTCACTAATGCATTGATCAATTCTTCAGCATTCAATATGTACCGATTACGATATCGCTGTAGAACGCCAATAACAGGTGTATTTGCATTATTCTCAATATTTATATCGCCGTTATCAGGAGTATATATTTTTGTGTTATTGATACAAGACAATACTCGTTTGTCAGCTTGTTCTTTCTGCATATAATTTTCCCATTTGCCATTGTGTATGAAGTAATTTAGAATGTCATTCCGAAATTGTTCGTAATGTTCTGCTGGAATATTTTTCTCACAGTAAATTAGGCTACAAAGATTTCCAGCACCTATGAAAATAAAGATTGTATGCTAGGTAAAAACGAATATTTATTATATAGATCATATATTTTTCAGAAGCAAAATAACATACCAACAACGGCATTTGCAAAGCAAATAGGTACAGTAGGTGGCATTACTTGCATTTCTGTCAACATATCATCATAATTAAATACTATTTCTTTCCCATCGGTGAGGAATGAGATATCCTGGGGTATCGCTAGACTTGGTTGATAATCCGCTGTACAAACACGCATGAGCCATGCATTTCGAGTGGCATTGTATGTACGCATCATGCTACGAAATTTGAACAAAAGTTATTATTATTAATATTATCTTGATTATTAGCTCTATTGGTAAGTGGAGATACTTTTTTAATTAGACAAACGTTATTCACCTTTTCATTAACTCACCTATACAATGGCAACAATCCATTGAACATCCAATGCGAGAAATGATAAGGAGCATATAGACCATATATAAATACAGTGTCATTTATATATTGAACTTTTTCTGGATAACTGGATCGTACAGCAGGTTTCCAAAAAATATCAGAAATTTCATCTGAATTCATAACATTAGCCATGACTGATATGTCTTCTTGATTTACTATATAGGCTCCTGAAATACTCGTTCGTTATCGTCAGCGTATGAATAATGGTATAATGCATTAATAGTAATTAAAATTCTTCAGACTATACCATGTTTGCTGTCAACACAGAGATTAGTGAATTCGCAGACAGTCGCGCGGCCTTCCCCTCGACATTTTGAAGTGCTTTGAGCTATTGGTGTAGTTAAATGGTCACCGATTAACCAATCATGGTATCCATGATATCTATATACAAATGGCATAAAATATAATAAGCAAAGGATTAAAGGAATGAAGAGAACATATTTGTATGGAAGTTTGCGAAGTATAAGTTTCATTGTTTTTTAATATAAGTTAGATGCTTGCATTTTATCGCTAATTTCCTTAGTTTCCGCACATGGTTTATACAGTATTTTTTTTGTGGCCAATAATTTTGAAATTTCATACAAACTGACATGTGACAAACAGCCAATCAAATTGTGGCTAAAGTTTTTCGCGTTTTTTAGAGTTGTAAATTTTAAAAAAAGACAAATTACCGCCCATACAATCAACAACTTTGCACAATATAATAAACAAAGCCATAACTAAAACATTCAAAAAGAATGAAATTTAACCTCACGCCTTTATCCAAAGCTTCCTTGTAATCCATATTCAACAGGAAGTCCCACTTGGTGTTATAAGTCCCGAAAACTTAGCTAATTGTCGACAAAATACAACACTGCTCCCTATTATCTATCATAAAATCACAAAAGGAATATACAAACACATATGGAAACCTAACAGGATGAATCCACAACAAAACATTCCCAACTCCTTTACTTTACTAATCCCTCAAACTAAATCCACTTTCCCCCAGCAAATTAACAAACAATATCTAATATGGCTAAACAATTTTGTACAATATAACATTAGATCCCTCTTACTAACTCCATAATCTAGAGGTTTTTAGCTAAGAATAGGTTGAGGGCAAATCTCAGCCCTAACCTTTACTCCCTTTCTTGAATTGTAACAAATTTGTACTTTTGTATCTTATTAAATAATTCGAAATAAAGGAATAGAGGAAAACCTCTCTTATATAAAAAAAAAAGAAAAGACAAATTAATAAATAGTAGGTATAATAAAAGGTTTACTTTATCGTCAATAAGCACTACTATCTAAAATTTCATGATCCACCAATCAAATTACTATCAAATTTTTTGCTCGAGACCATCGACAATTTTGGTTATTTTGTAGGTGCTTATGATAGAATACTTTTTACATCGTTAAAAGCGTTAAAAGTCCATCTTATTGGTTGTTGATAATTCTTATATTACAAAACTGGTATACTTAAAAGATCTTTAATATATTTGTAATTAAAATTTTTTGATAATTATATTTATCCTTTAACGAGAGACTTTTCCAGGCAAATTTGCCTGGAAAAATTTATCTCTTCCGTTAAAGTGACATTTTTTAAAATGATCTAATCAGTCACGATGACACGCCCGGTAACAACTCGTGTTGATTGGGGTCATTTCACCATGTTAAAAGAAAAATAAAGGCAAGGTGCTGATAGAAAATAGTTAAAAGCGGTATTGACTAAAGTTACTCTGTCCGGTAGAGTTGTGACCCAAATTATTTTCTGAATTATGACATTACTACATAGTTTGGATTTTAGATTTCTGCTTAATTTGGGTTCATGTCCAAAATCTAAACATATGTCCCATTTCAATCAATAGGTGTCAAACTCAAAACTAATAGAATTTGCTAAAATGTTAATAAATAAACTATTACTCTATCAGGACATTGCTATATCAATAAAAAAATATATAGAAAATAAGTTCACAAGTTCCTAGTCGCCTATAATATCTAGTAGATCTATATATATTATATTCAGGGTTCCAATTTGACCAGTTGGTCAAAGGGTTTAGTATTGGTCAAATTGGGCAAAGGATATTTAAATATAGTATACATACACATATACTGTATAATATATATATTTATATATATATTTACTAAATTTATTATTTAATAGACTAGGACATTTGACCAATTTGACCAGACCGGTTTGACCAACGAATTTTTGGTCGACCAGTGATTTGACCAACCCTGATTATATTATAATACAGATCTAGATATTCCTTATAAATATTATTTATAAAGAATTAAATTTCTGAAGATCTATCGCTATGTAATGTCTATAGATGTTGGTGAAATAATTTCACCACTATTGGTGAAATTGATGGTGAATTGGTGAAATTGGTGAAATTAATTTCACCAGCATCTATAGTAATGTCGCCATTCTATACATAGGATAATTATTTCTTAGTAAATACAAACTCATTGAAGCAAAACAAGTGTAGGTTAATTTAATTCATTCCAGGTTGATATGAAAGCTCAAAAATTTAATAATTAATATAATAAATATCTAGGTTTCTCGTTAATATTAACCATTTTAAAAGTTATATTATCATTGTTAATGGATAAGCTATTAATTTTTCTATTTTAACAAAATTCTTAAATAAAATAGTTTGAAGACTTTGAACAAGAATTAATATAGAAAAAATGACAAATGAAAGAACGAAAGAAAGTAAAGAACAAAGATGCGAATTATATTACTGTATAAAACAATTTATAAACAATTTTTAATATTGGAATTTAATATCTATATACAGTATTACCGTAGCTTTGCTTTATTGATTGTACTAATATAATCCATCTGGCCGTGGCGCATTATCCCGGTACACATTTTTTGGGTGCATCGTATAGTCAACTCTATACGTATAACGATCGATGGTTCTGGATATAGAAAATGTTCGCTATATAAAATTACTGTTTTCTTAAAAATCATAACTCTCATCATACCGAACTAATATAAACTTTTTAGTTCGTTATAGCCAGAATTCGCCATAGAAAGGTTTATTATAAAGAGTTGTCTGTACTTTCAAATGACATACATTTATAGAATTTATAGAGAGCGCACTTATGGAGGATGAGATAAGTCCCAATCTCAATTTTTACATGTAAAATTTGGGACTTTTAACCATAATATAGCTTATATGCCGAAAGTAATTGAAATTTCGGCAAACTAGAAGCATTTTTTGCAAGCCTAGTAACTTTGGGTTGCTATCTACTCCTAAATCAGTAAGTTTTGGCGCAACCTTACTGTCGGGGTACATTATTACTTTTGTACTATCAAAAGCAATTTTGATCAGAAATCTGCAAGTCTGCAAATCCGTTAAAGGGATATATTAGCTATTTTTAACTATGTACTTAATATTTTATCTTTGTTTATAGCTGTAACGTTTATTCTTTTGAGTATTAGACTTGCCAAGCAAAATTAGTACCATTAAATATAATATCTGAAAAGATAGTTATTTTAATGTAAATGTTGATAAGCAATATCTTAAGCGAGAAATTTTTTGGCTTGCTTATATTATTTATTTGATTAACCTTTCTATTTTTATATCACTAACTTAAAATTCTTTAAACAATATTAATCTTGCGCAAGTTTATCTTAAAATATTTCTAAATTTACATTTTAGAGTATTAAAACAAAAAAAGACAATGTATAAGAAAACTATTTAACCTTTTTTTTGTATTTGGAATATTTCATATTCTGATGCTGAGAAGTAATATTGTTCATTTGTATTTCTAATTGCTCTTTCATATGAACTAACATTATTATAGTTACACCAACATTGTTTATTAAATTGATTAAAATTATCCTTCATATAAAGATCATCACCATAACCAATATGTAGACCACGGTCAGAATTGCAATAAATTGCATACTGTGGATTTTTTACACGACTTAAAATAGAGGATTGAATAGTACCATTTTTCAATGAAAAAATAAAGCTATCTTTACAATTTATCCAATTACATAATTCTTTATTCCATTTCACAGGATTATACCCACCAAAAATTTCATCAGTACCATTAACCTTTATAATTAAAACAGTGTTTTCTTGCTTATCACATAAATTCCAAAATGATTCTTTGGTAAAACCATCTCTGGATCCACGAATAAGTAATTTAAACTCATATGGATTGTTTGTTTCAGAATACGTTTCAGCTTTCTTATCAACCCATGATGCAATTTCGGCTGCGTGTATTTCGCTTATAATAGTTGAGAATGGTTCAGTTATTCTTGATGGTAATTTAGAAGTTAAAATCTTTCGAGGTGGGAGAATTATTGAAGATATTTGCCGATTTGGTGTAGCAATTTTTTTAAATACATCATCCCAGAGATTTTTTTCAAGAATTTGATGATATGGATATACAATATCAACAATATCATCATTAGACATTTGAAAATAGCGAATGAGAGGCAACCAATTTTTTAAAGTAGTTTTTAAAGCAAGAAAATTTTCACTAGTCAAGCTCGTAGGATCCGATGGTAAGTCAGGGTTTTGAGCAATTCTCCATTCAATGACATAATTCCAAATTTTACTTTCTTCCATTTGTAAATCATCTCTTTCGATAATTGAGATTAATGCATTTTCAGGAAGCGAGGTGAAATCTTCTGACTCAAAAAGTTTATCTGGATACTTGGCCACAATATCATTGCACCATTTTTGTAATTCTTGAAGTTGATTATTTTGAAAGCTTGTTTTATAAACATGTGCGAAATGAAGACGAAGCCAACTAGACTTCATTTCAATTAAATGAGTTTCAAAGTATTTAACCAATTCTTCAAGAAGAAGCTCGCAAGCAACACTCATGAGCTCAAAAATAAATGACCCATCTTTGTTTTCTATTAAAATTACACCTCCATAAATATATCTTTATTGAATTAATCAAGAATTAATTTCTCTATAGCAAATTACAAAGAACAGTATAAAAAATATATATTATATAACTTACTTAATAATAATTTCGAATTGTTGGGTAGAAATATGGTTTAAATTAATCTTTTTAAGATTATTATTGTCTTTACTAGTTTTTGCTAATTCATTACGAAAATACAAAGACCTATATCTCAAAATATTTGAATGAGCTTGAAATATCTTTGAAGATTCATTCGTACTTATAATAACATTAAAATCTTCTTTATCATCAAGAAGTTCAAGGTAATTATTTGAAAGTCTTTCGAAGAGTTTTGTTGCCATAATAGATGCAGGGACGGTAATTACTTCGATTAAGAATAAAAATGGAATAAATGGAATTATTATAGCCAATCAAATCTGAAATAATTTCAAATTTTAAATTTTGATTGGACAAAAACAAAATAATCACAGTCCCTGATTAGATGTGTAAAAACAAACCGGAAATGGTTACGTACATACGTACCCAAGTCCGTAAATTAAAATTTTTATGTTCTACAAAAATTTGTGTTAAAATTCGTTATATCAAACAG